ATGTGTCGGTGACGAACATCAAAAAAGGTGTTTGCATTGTGTTTATGTTTGTGTGTGTGTGTGTGTGTCTGTGTGTCTGTGTGTCTGTGTGTCTGTGTGTCTGTGTGTCTGTGTGTCTGCGTGTCTGTGTGTGTGTGTGTCTGTGTCTGTGCATATTTTTCGTAGGTGTGTACACACACGTACAATTCGATTTCGAGACGAGCATGTGCAATCCTGTTATTTGTCTGTGTTCGGGGTGCTTTCGTCTTGGCTGAGTTGAGGATCTGAGGCATCGGGCTGCGGATATCGGCTTCGGCTTGCAACTAAGAGCCCGGCATACGGATTCAACAACGGGGGCAGTTTAGAGTTTAGATGCTTCGGATCGAAGGCACGAGCCAATTGAGAGCTCAAACCCCTTAAAAGCCTAAGCCCGACGAGAACCCGAAGCCCGGAGATGCAGTCTGGGCGTAGACACCAGCTGTCTGAAGCCCCGATGGTGCTGAATAGCATTACGAAAGTGCTTATGTTTAATTCGGGGTTTAGGATTTTGAACTTAGGGTTCCCTGCTTTAAGCATAAAGAGAATGAGGATAGCTGAAGCTGCTCCACTCCTCAGCCCAAGGGAGATCTTGGAATCTGGCCGACCACCTGGCTCAGCTTCTCGTTCCTCGCGAAAGCACCGCTGAGGGGAGACCAAAAACCACCCGAAACCTTGGGGTCCAAAGCTCCGCTTTCGGATCTACCTACAATCTCCATTTAGTTCACTAGGGGGCCCTAACCATAGAACTGGTTGACCGCAAAACTAACGTGGATTTGTATTGTCAAAAGGACTCCTAAGGAACAACACCCCGGGCGTTTGGGGCTTGGGGTAAACGGCTCAGGCGCGTTGGTCGTTGTTTTCCAACGCGGCTTCAAACCAACACCAAGCCTGCAAGCCCTGGACCACCCAAGCAACATCACCTTTAAAACATGCCACTAATCTGCAAACATGGAACCGGAAAGATGGGCCAGTTTCGGGCGGGGGAGATACGTTGAAGATCCTCAATCTGAGCCCTAACGGTTGGAAATTACAGGCTTCTTTCTTCCAAGGATCGTCTCTCTCTCCTGTCCCAAGACCCCCCTCTGCTCGTGAACCGGTGATGGTCTTGGATCCCTAAACCTCAAAACCGATCCAAGTTTCGGGAACTTTGCATCTGATCCTCAAGGCCGCTGAAGACGGCCCGAGTCTCCGGGACTCCCAGCGCTTCAATTGAGTTCATCTGGGACCCTTCATAGCCAGAACGGGCTTGGCGGTATGTTGTAGAGTAGTTCTACACGGACTGTACGAGGACCCTATGACTGACTAGCCAAATCGTTTAGGGATGACGTGGAGCATTTGCCGCGTGCGCATGAACTAGAAAACTCGCACACATCTTAGTCTCAGTACGATATCGGCAGTAATGACATGTCAATTATCCCTTATATGCAAAACCTGAAGCCTCCCCCCCCCCGGGGGCACACGCACAACCGAACCACAAAGCTCCCTTCTTAAGACTTCATAAAACCTTGAAAACCTCACAAAACCCTCGTAACAGCCCTTCTACGACCCTAACATCTTGATAGTTAACACCGATTGGACCGCTCCTCGATCGTGGGAGTGGATAGCTTGCCACTGTGATCTCCGACCCGGCTCCTTTTCGCCTCAACGACCCAGTGCTGCATCAGCTCAAGGCTTTTGGGTTTACCGTTGAAGGCGTGGGTTTAAGGGTTTGGGGTTTGGCAATCTGATGGTAAGGGTTGCCGCTTCTTCTTCGTCTTGCGAACCGTTCATATCAGTTGCCAGCCATCGTCACCATCGTCGTCGTCGTAAGGTCAGCATCGCTGGTCGGCATGGGTGTGGGCCATGACTGTGATTGTAATTAAAATCGCACGATGCTCGTGTGGCTATATACCACTGTCACGACGACGACGCCGCCATTATGATTACTGCTGCGATTTCCTCTCCAGACCAGCACCATCACCACGACTACTGCCATCACGATGGCAAGTCCGTTCCACGTATGATTAAACAGCACAACCCACACTTGTACTGATACGGCATATGGCGGGTTATCTCGCTTCTGCCCACCATCTTAGCACAATTAGGAGCACTGGGAGCAAATCCGAACCCCTACGCAAGTGTTATGCTTGGGTCAGAAACCGGGTAGGTCTTACTCCCCGCTTTGGATTGGTATTGACAGTTCAGCCAGACGCACCTGTTACACAAGGTAAGGTTCAAGGAACACCGAAGTTGAAACTTTAGTTACACTCTAAGCCGTAAGCCCCCGTACAAAATTCGACGCAACCCTAGCATCAAAGCTCAAAGAGCACCGTAAAAGCCGACTTCAGTTGGGATCTAGATCCTCATTTCACCCCGTCTGGCCAAGCAGCAGCGTCTGCAGTGCGCTGGAAAGCCTCAGCTTTCTACTTGCCAGGCTTTTCTACCTTGCTCCTTCCTATGACTATGTTACACTAGGAGTCCCTGTTGAGATATATTGCACTTTGTCTTCCTACACACTAGTCATCG